TTTATTTTATTGTTTATTAATCCTCACCCAATAGTATTTTTTTTTATTGATTTTTAGAGAGAGTGGAAGGGAGAGGGACAGGGAGAAGAGAGAGAGAGAAACATTGATGTGACAGACACATCAACTGGTTGCCTCCCACTCATATCCTGACAGGGGCTGGGGATTGAACCCACAACCTTGACTGGAAATCAAACCCATGACCCTTCAGTCTGCAGGCCAACACTCTAACCACTGAGCATACCAGCCAGGGCTGGGATCAATACACTTTACAACCACCTGTGCCCAGCTCCTCTCCAGGGACCTGTGTACGGAGCAGCTTCCTGCCACACCCCGCACCTGGCCACGCTGATCACTTTCACATTAACGGCCTCGTGCCCTCTGTGCCCTGTGCAGGACCTGGACATCAACAGCATCCCCAACTACAAGAAGAGCATCATGGCCTTGTCTGACGGGGGGAAGCTGTACCGGACGGACCTCGCCCTCATTCTCTCTGCTGGGGACAACTAGAGTGGTAACCCGGCCACTCGCTAGCGGTACACCTTATCTAAAAACAAGTGTGCACTCTAAGGGAGTAGCCTGTTTCCGTTTATAGCTGTACATTTAACTGCCCATAGATAACTGTCCAGTGTGTGGCACAATCTTTCCGCTTGTTTCTATACTGCTTGTAATGTACAGTTTTTGTACCACAGGACTGAAAAGATTGTCTACGCTTAAGCCAGTCAATACACCCATTAAAAAATAACCTGACATATTCCTGCTTTTGTACATGGAGTTGGACAGCGTTTCCCTAAACTATTCATCAGGATTAATCTCTACAACTCTAGTCTCTGGTGTGTTAATGCGAGCTTTTCACCGAAGCATTCTCTCTTCAGACAATCACAGGTCAATCCCATGCTGTCCTTCCAGTTACCAGCAGGCGTGTGCTTAGGTAGCGGGCCCTACGCAGGGTGGCATCTCCTGCTTGACCTCCCCAGCGCCGGGCAGGCGATTTGGGGGAGACAGTGCCCGGTGGACGCCACACTGTCCGGTCCTTGTGTGTCTCCCACACGCTCCCCATTGAAGGACAGCCTCAGCCCACTTTCTAAACAGTTTTCACGTGTTGGTGACGACAATTATTCTAGAAAATGCTGTTTTGATGTCGTGTTCTGTCATCTCCGATTAAATCCCACGTGCCGAGCAGCCTGGTGTCTAGTTCGCGTCCTTCCGGGACTTTCTTCCACGCAGAACCTCTCATTCCATCAGAGTGTCTCTGCTGCCTCCAAAAACATCCTCAATTCTCACTCTCCTTTCCCCCACATCACTGACCCAACGCCAGGCCAGGCCCTGCTGCTGAGTCACATCGGCAGCCATGTCTCCCGTGAATCCGTCTTTCATGTTGAGATGAGCATTCAAAATAATTGTACTTCTGTCTGCAAATAGTTTCAAAAGAGTTAAAAATAACCTTGAAGATAAATGTGTGTAACCTGCCCGGCCCATAGGGAGATGCCAGCACGACCTGACTGCACAGTCCGCTCCGGCACGGTGCTGCCTGCCGGGCCTCGGGCGGGCTGCCACTCCCGGCCCAGTGCAGGCCGTCCATGAGCTCAGCACCACCTTTCCCAGGAACAGAGGTAACAGGAGAAAGTGACGTGTCTCCTTCCCCAGAATGGAGAGAGGACTGCGCCCAGGAATGGAATTCCGGGCCAGGTGGGTGGACTGCAGTGCAGTGAGTGGTGATGAGGACGGAAGGAGGAAAGGGAGTGAGGCCCCTGCATTTGTGTTGGAGATCTCGTCCTGGTCAGCAGGTGGGATGCAGGCGCTCAGATGGTCAATGTCACCTGCAACCCCAACTCCCAGAAGAAATACACACTCAGGAATACACTCTTAGGAATAACAACTTGGAACTGTACATCAAAGGTCCTTAAAAGCTTTATAACCTTTGATTAATAGTACTAGAGGCCTGGTGCACAAAATTCGTGCATGGGGGTGGGTGTCCCTAAGCACAGCCTGCACCCTCTCCAATCTAGAACCCCTTGAGGAATGTTCAACTGCCCGTTAGGCCCAATCTGGAAACCCTTGAGGGATGTCCAGCTGTCGGACATCTCTCTCACAATCTAGGACTGCTGTTTTTCAACTGCTCACCTGCCTGCCTTCCTGATTGCCCCTAAATGCTTCTGCCTGCCAGCCTGATCAACACCTAACTGCTCCCCTGCCAGCCTGATCAACACCTAACTGCTCCCCTACTGGTCTGATTGCCCCTAACTGCCCTCCCCTGACGGCCTGGTCGCCCCTGACTGTCCTTCTTTTCAGGCCTGGTCACCCCTAACTGCTCTCCCCTACAGCCTGGTCACCCCCAACTGCCCCCCCCCCCTGCAGGCCTAGTCCCACCTCTCCCCTAACTACCCTCCCTTGCAGGCCCGGTCCCCCACAACTGCCCTCCCTGCCAGCCATCTTGTGGTGGCCATCTTGTGTCTATATGGGGGTGGCCATCTTTGACCACATGGGGGCAGCCATATTGTGTGTTGAAGTGACAGTCAATTTGCATATTACTCTTTATTAGATAGGATTACTTCAGGAATCCATTGTGAGGAAACAATTCCAAATTTTAAAGATGTTTTATACCCAAGAAGTTCTTCACAGGTGTATATATTACACCATAAAATAAAATAACCTACTTTCAAAAATAAAGTATGCCAAATATAAACAATGAAAGCTCTGGCTGGGTGACTTAGTTCAATGGAGAGTCATCCCATACACCAAAAGGTTGTGAGTTTGACTCTGGGTCAGGGCACGTACCTAGGTTGCATGCAAGTTTGATTCCTGGTTGGGCAAGTACAAGAAGCAACCAATGTTTCTCTCACATTGGTGTTTCTCTCTAAAGTCCAATTTAAAAAAATACACACACACACACACACAAACACACACAGAAATATGAAAAAAATAATTTTTATGAAAAAAACAGGATGTATTTTATCATGCAATCTCAACTTTTTTTAAAAAAAAAAAAAAAGAGAGAGATTATGAAAACACTGGGGAAAACAATATTTATAAAGTTATAAAAATGTGAACCCAGAATTAATTTAACAAAATCTGTGGATGCAGTTGCACTGGTAGAATTAGTGGGAGGGAGGCATGTAGAGTTCAGAAGAGGCACAACTGAGCTGAGATGGCTCCCTCAGGAGGCCTTCAGAGCGGCACCACAGGAGGCTTGCCTGCCAGTAACACAAACAACAACTTTCATATCAATAAAAATTAGATGAAAAGGCCAAGGCTGAAAAGAAGTGTCGGAAAGTATAAACAGAAGTCTTCTTCAGGAAGTGAGTTTTCACCCTTCCTATCATATTGTATTCTCACATTGTTTATGATAACCAGTCTCAGGAAGTCAGAGTGGTCTGCCTTGGAGGTGGCACTTAGATGGAAGAGGAGGGAAAGGGGCACCCTGGGCCAGAGCTGGTACCGTGGGGATGGCAAAGCCACTTCTCCAATAGAGCTGTGTACACGGGCTCAGCGACACCCTCACCTGGAGGAACTGCTCTCAGCAGGCCCCCTTGGAGGAGGCAGGGGAAGCTGGGCCCCTCCCAGGAGCTGGGCTGAGGGGACAGTCAGTTGCTGAGTATGCACTGAGCCATTCATCGGAAAGAAAAATAGTCCTTTTAAAACATAAGTTCAAAATTATAACTGCATAGATTTGAGACTATGGCTTTCTTATTATTTGACTAGAGGCCCGGTGCATGAAATTCGTGCACGGGTGTGTGTGTGTATGTGTGTGTGTCCCTCAGCCCAGCCTGCACTGTCTCCTCTCATAATCCAGGACTGCTGGCTCCCAACTCCTCGCCTGCTTGCCTGCCTGATTGCCCCTAACCGCTTCTGCCTGCCAGCCTGATCACCCCCTAACCACTCCTCTGCCAGCCTGATCAATGCCTAACTGCTCCCCTGCCGGCCTGATTGCCCCTAACTGCCCTCTCCTGCAGGCCCGGTCTTCCCAACAGTCCTCCCCTGCAAGCCCGGTTCCCCACAACTTCCCTCCCCTGCAAGCTTGGTCCCTCCCAACTGTCCTCCCCTGCAGGCCTAGTTGCCCCCAACCATCCTCCCCTACAGGCCTAGTTGCCCCCAATTGCACTCTCCTGCAGGCCTCGTCCCCACCAACTGCCTTCCCTTGTAGGCCTGGATCCCCGCAACTGTCCTCCCCTGCTGGCCATCTTGTGGTAGCCATCTTGTGTGTTGAAGTGACGGTCAATTTGCATATCACTCTTTTATTAGATAGGATTCTCAGGATGACAGATCAGTCAAGGTAAATACGAACTTAAATAAAATGATGCACAAGACACTTGCAAGCTTTGAACCTTTTCCTGCAAAGAGAATCTGGTTTTCTTTCGAGGCCAGGGCAGACACGACCTCCTCAGTGTCCCCTCCTCTGACCTCGGAGGCAGATGAGTCACTTCCCTGCCCGGTGCCAGGCGAGGGTGTTCGTCACCGATCAGAACTCCTTCTTCAGGGTGTCCAGCCTGGCGGCCAGTGAGTGTCTAAGGGCAAAGGCTGTAGGTTAGTCACACACCGGACAGAAAGCCGGCAAGATTTGTTTGCATTAATACTGAGCGACCCAGAGAAGATCACAAGTCCCGTGGCGAGGGAACGAGCGAGAGGCAGAGTCCATTGGTGTGTCTCTCCCCCCCCCCCCCCACCTCGACTGTCTTCCGCTCAGGCCCCATCGCCACAGGCACCATTTCCCACGCGGCCCCTGCCAGTCCCCAGCCTTCCCGGGGCCTCTCCCACTGCCCCACACTTCTCACCTGTCAAAGCCTTCACCCACTCCCCCCTTTTCATGTTTAAAATAATTTTGAAGGAACCAGATCCCATTTCATGAATCTTGAATACACAATGCCTACCTACCACTGGCCTGGTACACAGCACACACTCAGTAAATGTTTGTTAATCAACGTTTTATTAGACTTGAAAATATTCAAAAGATTATAGGCAGTTTGTGTCGTTTCCACGGTAACCCAGATGAAGGCCAGGGTGTCTTAGGAGCCTTTTGTCTTCCTGATCATCTCTTCCATGGTGTCCCACTGCTCCTTGGTGACCTGACCCAGGAAGAGAAAAGGCAGTTTGGTGTGGTCCTTGCACAGAACCCGGATGCTAGCTGCTCCCCTGCCAGCCCGATTGCCCGATTGTGAATATGATGGTATGTTATATTCACAAAATGCATTACCTTCTTCAGGCTGTTGAATTCTCCTGAAATAAATACTTCCTCTCCACCATCAAATCTAATGACCTGAAAATAGAAAATAAAAACTCGGAACCTAACTCGTTTCTGAATCATTAGCCACTTTTTCATCCTTAGGTCTCTCAATCAAATCCCAAATTTTAAAGACAGAGTTGATTAAACCTAAATTGATTTATTTTCTTTAGAATCTCCTTTCCGCCATCTCTACAATTCCAAATTGTACCCAATCTTAAAGGCACGTCTACCAGAGTAATTTTTATTCAATAAAATGAATTTATCAATAAATTGATTCCATAAGCTAAGCAATGTATATTAATATGTGATGTTATTTAAAGCTAAGTAACTATTTTAAACTACAACTATATCACCAGGATTGGCTCCACAAGGTGCCTCCCTCCGCCCCCTCCTCCCAGAGGGAAGAGCTCCGTGCTCACGGCCCCATTGATCCAGGAAGCGTAGTCGCTGCACAGGAAGGCAGCGAGGTTGGCCAGCTCCTCCACGGTCCCCAGCCGGCCGCAGGGGATCCTGTCCACCATCTCTTTCTCAAACACTCCGGTCGGGTCCAGGCGGCTGAAGGCACCCTTAGCAACAAAGGCCATCGTCAGACTGCATCTCTCAATGCCACACCTTTCCCATTTAAGAAACAAATTGGCATAAAGTGGACTGTCACTATGGCTACCTGTTCACACCTTAGCCTTTGTAAGCAACAGATAATTTTGCCAAATTCTTCCACAATAACTTTAATTCAAAAGAGATAATTTTGTCTCATATTGACCTAAAAAAGCCACCAGAGAGCGTGACCTTTTATCCTACGTTTCCTCCTCTGTGAAATCAGGTGCCTCTCTCCCTGCCTCCCGTCTCCGTGAGCACTGGGAGCTGGCACTGTCCTCCGAGGCACACGACCCTGTGGGGCCGGGCCCTGCCGCAGGCTCAGCGAACACAGACACGCCCAGAGAGGACCTGTTTCAGAGTAAAGTCCTTTCCTTCTCTTTCTTCTCCATGGAGGAGAGGAAACATGTGATGTGTGTGTGTGTGGGGGGGGGGGGGGGATAGAGACACAATAACGAGCAGGTCCAGAGAGGAAAACCGTATGCGCCTCGGACGTTCGCCACGCCCGCCTCCTGTGATGGCCGCGCCCCTGCTGCCCAGAGCCTGGAGGTGACCCGTCTCTGAGGTCAGAGGCAGGCTGCCCCTGAGAGTGCCACCACCCCGGGCAGGTGTGCAGCACCAGGGACAGAGCGGGCACAGGCCCAGCCGCTCCAGGCCCTGGGCCCTGGGGGTTTCTATTCTTGGGTTTCCTTCAATCTCTTTAAAACGATTTGCTCGTGATTCACACCGCACTACCAACACTCGGCAGATGTTTCTGTGTTGTCTCAGCTTCCTCAGCACCTCTGCACACAGCAGGCACTCAATAAATGCTGAGTAAAGGGTAAGATGCAGGAGATCCTTCCTGGCCCAGGCCCTGCGCGGCCCCCGGCAGTGTTTGGACATCAGCTTTGCGGCTGCCCCAGAGCCGCTCAGCGATACTGCCCTCACGTCCCTCCACCTGCCGATGCCCAGCACGGCCGCTCCGAGGGTCAGCAGCATCGAGTGCCGGGCCACCCTCAGCCGGGACGCCTTCGCACCATCTCCACACACAGGTTCCCGAGCGCCGTCTCCACGCCACATGCAGACCGGGCGCGACGGCTTTGGTGGGCGCCCGGGGAGGCCGCGGGGGAGGCTGAGGGGGTCAGCCAGAGGGGCTCGGCGGAGAGGTGGTCAGTGGGCACAGGGGGGGTCGGGCAATGCTCCCGAGAGGGCTCGCCGCCAGGTACGTTCCCACAGCACTGCGCCCACAAACAGCACATTCCCACCGCTCCTTTAAAAGCAGTCAGGGTCAGACTCTTTAAAACAAGTAAAAGTAAGAACTATAAGATAGACGCAGATCATTGAAGCAAACCAGGCAAAATGCCGAAACTGAGGGCAAGAAACTCCCAGCAGATGAAGACACGGAGAGCCCGGAAGCGGCCAGCTGCCCCGCCAGCCCGGACGCAGGCCCTCGCAGGCCCGTGCCCCCTCACGCTCCCGACGAGCCACCCACCTTGGTCTTGATGGGCCCCGGCTGGATCACGTTGAATCGCATCCCATATCTGCCCCACTCGGCTGCGAGAGACCTGACGATTCAAGCGAACAACACAGACATTAGACTTCGAACTACTATTAAATAACCAGGCGTAGGACAGCCCCAGCCTCAGCCAGCCGCGCGCGCTCCGGCTGCCGGCGCTGCAGACCAGAGAGCCTGGGCGCCGGGCGCAGCGCCAGCCCGGGCACAAAGCCTCGGGGGCGTGGGCCCCGCGGCCAGGCTCACTCTGCGTGGACAGGGTCAGTGTGGTTGGGCATCCACTCCCGGGTCAGGGCCTCACCAGCCTCGGTGGAAGAAGGGTGGGTTGGAGGGTGTGGCGGGGGAGGAGGATGTGGGGGCAGGAGGGAGGGAGGAGGGCGTGGGGGGAGGAGGGCGGGGGAGGGCGGGGAGGAGGAAGGGCGGGGAGGAGGGTGGGGAGGAGGGCGGGGAGGGGAGGAGGGCGGGGAGGAGGGCAGGAGGAGGACGGGGAGGAGGAGGGTGGGGAGGAGGGCAAGGAGGGGGGCGGGGGAGGAGGGCGGGGAGGGGCGGGGAGGGGCGGGGAGGAGGGCGGGGGAGGGCGGGGAGGGCAGGGAAGAGGGCGGGGAGGAGGAGGGTGGAGAGGAGGGCAGGGAGGAGGGTGGGGAAGAGGGCGGGAGGAGGGGGCGGGGAGGAGGGCGGAGGAGGGCGGGGGAGGGGGCGGGAGGAGGGGGCGGGGAGGAGGGCGGGGAAGAGGGCGGGAGGAGGGGGCGGGGAGGAGGGCGGGGGAGGGCGGGGAGGAGGAGGGCGGGGGAGGGCGGGGAGGGCGGCGGGGAGGGGGCGGGGGAGGGCGGGGAGGAGGAGGGCGGGGGAGGGCGGGGAGGGCGGGGGAGGGCGGGCAGAGGGCAGAGGAGCAGGGCTCAGCCTCACTTGTTGAGCGCCTCCACGCCGGCCTTGGCGGACGCGCTGGGCACCACGAAGCCGGAGCCGCTCTCGGCGTAGATGGTGGTGATGGCGAGGAACGCTGCGCCTGCGGGGGGCGCGGTCAGCGGCCGCCCTGCGCTCGGCGCTCCGGGGCCCGCGGCCAGGGCAGCGCCACGACACTGACCGCGGGGCGCGTCCCCCTGAAGCGGCCGCAGCGAAGGGAACCGCGAGCAAAACGAAAGACGGCCCGCGAGCGGACGAGACAGTCACAGAGGACATGTCGGATGAGGGTCCCTATCGGAATCCATCAAGAACTCACACACCTGACCCCACCCGCCGCCCAGGTAAAGAGCGGGCAGAGCCTGCAGAGACAGGCCACGGCGGAGGCGCTGGCCCCGGCACCCAGGACCCGCACCGGGCTCACGCCTGTCAGGGCCGCTCCGCGCCAGCAGACCGGGCCGAGGGCCGCGCCCTGGGCGCACCTGCTGCAGCCTCTTTGGAAAACAGTGCGGAGGCGCCTCAAAAACCACAACAGAGCTCCCCTGTGACCCCAATCCTAGGAATGCATCTGAAGACAACGAAAACACTAATCCGAACAGACAAACACTCCTGTGCTCACTGCAGTGCTATTTATAACAGCCAATAAGGGAGCCGTCTGCGGGACAGAGGCTGGGTAAGGAAGCTGTGGTACATACAGACAATGGAATATTAATTAGCAATAAGAAGAAGAAAATCTTACAACCTGCAACAATATGGATGGCCCTAGAGCAGCAATTTTCAACCTTTTCCATCTCATGGCACACATAAACTAATTACTAAAATTCTACAACATAGGAAAAATAGATTACATTGTTGCTGGCCTGAAACAAAAGGTATGAATTTTTTTTTTTAATTGGTGAACAATCCAACGCTTGGTGAATTCTGCTTCACAATAATAGAAAGAGCCGACATCGAAGGATCAAAAAGCAAAGTCACTATGAACCAGCCACAAGCCAGTTATCCCTGTGGTAACTTTTCTGACACCTCCTGCTTAAAACCCAAAAGGTCAGAAGGATCGTGAGGCCCCGCTTTCACGGTCTGTATTCGTACTGAAAATCAAGATCAAGCGAGCTTTTGCCCTTCTGCTCCACGGGAGGTTTCTGTCCTCCCTGAGCTAGCCTTAGGACACCTGCGTTACCGTTTGACAGGTGTACCGCCCCAGTCAAACTCCCCACCTGGCACTGTCCCCGGAGCGGGGTGCGCCCGGCCGGCGCGCGGCCTGGCGCTTGGCGCCAGAAGCGAGAGCCCCTCGGGGCTCACACATACACACACACACACACACACACACACACACACACACACCCCGCCTCACCGGGTCAGTGAAAAACGATCAGAGTAGTGGTATTTCACCGGTGGCCCGCAAGGCCGGCGAACCCCCCTCCCCGCCCCCTCGCGGGGACTCAGGGAAGGGGCGCCGGGGGCCTCCCACGTATTCTGCACCTCTCATGTCTCTTCACCGTGCCAGACCAGAGTCAAGCTCAACAGGGTCTTCTTTCCCACTGATTCCGCCAAGCCCGTTCCCTTGGCTGTGGTTCGCTGGATAGTAGAAAAAGGGTATGATTTTGATTCATTCACACAGGACGGCTATTGCTGTGCTGGCGCCGTCGTTGTTTTATCTGACAATCTCAGCGCCCCTGACTCAGTAGTCGGGCAGTCACGTTTCCAAACCCTTGCAGCACACGGTGGGAAATCACCGGCCTATCACTGGCCTTACGCTGAGTGAAGTCAGTCAGACAGAGCAAGTCAGATGCCATCTGATTGCATGTGCTTTGGAGTCTAAAAGCAAAACGATCAAAACTGAAACAGACTCCCAGACACAGAGGCAGGCTGCGGGCAGGCCTGGGTCTGGGGGAGGTGGGAGATGGGAGAACAGCTCGGCAGGCACAGGGCAGTCAGGGGCACGTGTGTGCAGCACAGACGCGTGTGCAGCGCGGGGCACACGTCAGTAACATGCAGTAACACGGACAATGCCGGTGGGTAGCAGACTACGGAGGTGGACTTTGTAAGGTTTAGCTGATTCTTTTGACCTAGGGATCAAACATTTGATATTTGTCCTGCCCATGTCCTTTGCGACTAAATTCTTAAATAAACCCTTGTTAGTTTCTCCTGTGGTCTCTCCTCGCTGCAGGTTCTCTCGGCTCGTTAATAAATGCGGTATTTTTTCACTGGTGCCTGATCTCACATGTGAGCGCGATGGCCTGGAGGAGTGGGTCACAGCACAGGACGGCCATATCCCTCCCCAAAGGCAGTGAGCGCTCACCGACCTCGCTGGGATGCCTCCAGAGTCTAGGGTCTCTGCCTGCTGAGTAGGGTTAACTCTGCCGAGAAACCTACTTACCGCATCCCCATGCTGCTGGCGCCTCCAGGGCGGCCTGAGGCCGGCCCTCGCCCAGTCCCGCCCGCCAGCCTCGCCTCCTCCTTCCTCACCGACCACCCATCCTGCTGCTTCTGCTCACAGGTCACAGCCTGCTGCCCTCAAGGGACCCCAGGTTCCACACTTTGACTTAGTTCAGAGCCACCCCCCCCCCCCCCGAGTTCCTGGGCGGGGCTCCTGAGTAGACCCCGCCGCTGAGCGCCACAGGCCATGGAGGAGCCGTGAACCCACGGCCACAGAAGCGATGACCGGCAGGAATCTTGGAAGAATAAAAACTGGCTTCTATCCTTTGAAAAGTTTTAGGGAATATATTTTTAATGAAGCCCATAGAATTTTAATCCACTGCGAGGAATAAAAATAGATCCAAGTCTGTTTTTAAATGAGACATTAATGAGAGAGAAAGGAGTCAGAGAGACGGAGGCAGGCTCGCCGGCGGCTGGAGAGACAGTGAGACAGGAAGGAGTGATGAGAGCTGGAGAGGGAAAACTGAGGACCAGGAAGAGGGCCAAGGGGTGAGCGAGTGTGGAGACGGTCCGATGAGGGAGAAGAGACCCCAGACTCCGCCGGGCGCTGTCCCATCCCCAGCACCCCCCCACTTCTGCAAAATAAAGTGAAACATAAGCACCCTCCAACTCCAGCCCAGATCACATCCCCTGGTGGCATGGTGGCCTGGGTTTGATTTCAGTGGCAGCTGGAGAATGTGTGGAGTTCTCAGCACGTGCACACACACACACACACACACACACACACACACACACGGACGCGCGCACAGCTGAGGCCTCTCCAGCACCTGCTGTCTCTCCCCACACCCTTCCCCAAATTAAACACAAATGTCTTCCTAGTAACCCTGTAAACCCGCACACCTCAGCCTTCCGTGGCCGTCCACACCAGTCGACTCCCACGCAGAACCCGCACCTGCCCAGTAAGGCCTCCTCTCCTAACGTCCCGAATTACCCTCCATCCTCCCGTCCACGTGCGAGAAGAACAGGCCCCAGCGGTCTCTCTGTGCCACCCCTCCCCTGCCGGCAGTCAGCAGCCGGGCTGCAATGACCTTCCCAACCAGTCCCACCCTCATGAGACACGTGCGCGAGATCCTAAGGAAAAACGCTGTTCCCTTCCGAAGCAACCCCAAATTTCCAGGGAAGCTCCATTACACCCAGCCTCCTCCGCCCCCTCCGCTCTCACCCCGCTCCGACCACCTCTGTACACCAGCTCGGCCGCGCGGCCATGGGGAGAGCCGCGCCCATGGCCCGGTGCCCCTGACACTGACCCAGTGTACCCCAGGCACCCCAGGAGGAGACCCTGTCTGGTGCGCCGTGGCCTTGGCCTCTGGGCAGCCCGGCTGCCACAGGCTGGCACGCCGAGGACAGGAGGGCAGCCCACCTCGCTGCGCCTTAATGAGCTGCTTCCCCACTTCCAGGGTCACGAAGGCCGTGCCGTTCAGGACGATGTCGGTGATGGTCCGCCAGGCGTTGGGGGACAGCCTCTCCGTGGGAGAGATGAAGTTGCCGGCTGCGTTGTTTATCACGACCTAGCGGCGGAGCGAGCAGTCAGAGGCCGAGGCCGAGGCGGGTCGTCACCCCCAGGGCTTCCGCTCTGAGACGTGTTAACCCAACAAGCACAGTGACTCCCATCTGCTAGGAACACCGAGACTTGAGCCTGTGAAAATCTGTTACTCTTCAAATTTCAGAATCCTACGTCTTCTCTCAAGACCAGGGAGCAGTCTGCCATCTATATATAATAAAAGCCTAAGTGACCATCCGACCGTCCGACCAGTAGCTTTGATGTGCAATGACCACCAGGGGGCAGATGCTCCAGCCGGTAGCTATGACACACCCGGAACCAGAGAGGAGGAAGCCCAATCCTGGGGTGCGCCACCTGAGAACCACCCTCTTGCAATCTGGGGATGTCGGAGAGCTGGTTTCAGCCTGATTCCTGCAGGCCAGGCGAAGGGACCCACCAGTGCACAGATCTGTGCACCAGGCCTCCAGGTGAGGATGTAATAGAGGTGAGCACCTACCTGGTGACTAGTTTGTCTCAAGGGGTCTCGGTTACAACACCTCCAGCTTCAGCTTCACTCCCCAGGCCCTGCTGCTGATGCCTCCCCCTGAGCAGGCCCTGCCCGGCTCCAGGTCTGCAGTCTGTACCCTGCATCTGTAACCTGAGAGCCTCCTCGGACTGGGGCATGGCCTTCCCCTCGCTCCCCCCTCTCCTCTCTCTCACACCCCCTGCCTGAGAGCCACACCCACGTGAACTGCGCCCGAGTGGGCTCCTTGCTTGTATTATTCTCCACACAGACACGATCAGGTCATTAGGCGGCCAAGAGCCCTTCAGGCGGGCCTGGGCCTGGGCCAGGGCCCTGGTTAGTCACCTCCCATCACAGCGGGAGGTGCGGTTTGCTCTGGGGCCACCGCCTGTGCAGGTGCCCGAGGACTGTGCTCCACGGCTCTAACCTGGCCACGGCCCTCAGCATCACAGGGTCGGCGGGTGCGCCCACGGGGACCCCACACCCACGGGACCCCTGTACCCACGGGGACCCCACACCCACGGGGACCCCCCGCACCCACGGGGACCCTGTACCCACGGGGACCCCACACCCACGGGGACCCCCCGCACCCACGGGGACCCTGTACCCATGGGGACCCCACACCCACGGGACCCCCACACCCACGGGACCCCCACACCCACGGGACCCCTGTACTCATAGGGGACCCCACACTCATGGGACCCCCACACCCACGGGGACCCCACACTCACGGGACCCCCACACCCACGGGACCCCCGTACCCATAGGGGACCCCACACCCACGGGACCCCTGTACCCATAGGGTACCCCACACTCACAGGACCCCCACACCCACGGGGACCCCCCGCACCCACGGGGACCCCCCACACCCACGGGGACCCCCCACACCCATGGAGACCCCCCGCACCCACAGGGACCCCCCACACCCACGGGGACCCCCCACACCCACGGGACCCCCACACCCACAGGGACCCCCACACCCACGGGACCCCCACACCCACGGGGACCCCTCCAAACCCACGGGACCCCTGTACCCATAGGGGACCCCACACCCATGGGGACCCCCACACCCACGGGACCCCCACACCCACGGGACCCCCCGCACCCACGGGACCCCCACACCCACGGGACCCCAGCACCCATGGGATCCCCGCACCCACGGAGACCCCCGCACCCGTGGACGCGTCACCGCCACTCACGTCAGGAAGGCCCGCCACGCTGATCAGCTCCGACACCGCGCTGCGGACCATGTCGGGGTCCCGCACATCACACTGCACCGCCCGCACCTGCAGAGGAACCAGAGGGGCCGCTGGCTCTGGTGCCGGAGGAAGACGCGTGCTGGTCGTCACGGACACTCTCGAGTCTGAGAGCATGTACCTCATTTCCAGTCTGGGAAGAAATGGCCTCTGCGGTGGCTCTCAGAACATCAATCTTCCTGAAAACAAACACACCGCGGCCTGTGCGTGAGTTCTGACATGACGGCATCTACTTTTTCTTTTTACTCCCATGAAAAGAGAGTCTATAGCTTAAAGGGATGCATTTTTGAGAATATACAAAAGCTACAAATAAATCAGTTTGAATGAATGCATTTTTCTAAAAGTTTGATTCAAGAAAATTTACATACTACTATATTGAATTTCATTTAAACGAGATATTTTATATCTACTCATAGGTTTAAAATTTTTTTTCTTAATTGCAATAATTTATATCTGTTCCCAAGGCTGCTTTAGAAGGAAAAGACATCCATGATGATGTAAGCTCTGTACGAGAGCCTGCGGTCCCTCTGTGACAGCAGATTTCAGACACACTGATGCTGGTAAGTACACTGTGTGCATTCAGGGCCCCATACTCTTGAAAGAAAGATGAAAAGTCATCATGAGTGTGGATTTTTGTGGGGAAGCACGTGGCTTGGTTGGAAAGTCTGTAAGGAGGATTCTCTGAAAGGTCAGGGCCTCTGAGGGGACCTTGCTGGAAGCGGCTGCCCCTGCCTTGACTTTCTAAATAAGTCTGAGCCCTGGTGTCTACTGGAGTCTGTCCGCTTAGTCTTCAGACGTCGCTGCTTAAATACACTGCAGACGTGTGTCTTCTCCGGGATACTGACCTGCTGATGGTGCCCCATGGTTAATTTTAGTTCACGCTGTTGCTACAAGAAAAGCCTAAGGAGGCAGGTGAATGGGCTGTCTGGTTCCTCTAGCCAAGCAGTCCCTTAGCTCTCCCTCTCTGGCACAGAAATGACAATCATTCATCTGTCGCTCAGGGTCTGCTGATTAGCTCCGGCAGATTATGTGGTGTGACAAAAAAGGGTTTTCCACACTTAAAAACATTGCAGCATAGACAAAAACAGAAATAGTCGGCCAATTTGCATTCATCGAAGACGATTCCTTTGGCAATGTAAATCGCACAGCGGCGGTAATCACACTGAGAGACCCCTCCCACAGTCTGCACTGTTCTCAGTGGAGATGGGAGGCGATGCCCCTCGCTCTAGACTTGCAGTTCCCAGGGAAGACCTCTGAGAACTCCTACCACATGGCCTCCTCCTCCCCACCATCACCACAATCACATGTGTGTGAGACCGCCCCTCTGATAGGACGCAGAGGATTATACCCTCATCCATGCACACAGCTGCCTCTGAAGCAATAACTATATCACTGCCACCGAGAGCAAAGCAGCCTAGATGTGGTATTTTCAGCTGCACCTCCGTAGACAAAAATAGCTCCGTCACCAGCTGGGAATGCTCTGAAAGCTGCTCCAGGATCCATCAGTGCTTATGCTCTCCCAGGCTCCCAGGAGACTGACTGGCCTGGCGGACGTGTCACGGAAGGTAAGAGGCAAACCAGCCGCTCTGCAGAGCTCCCCTCTGGAGCTCAGCACCGGCGGCTGGCACCTCACGGGCGACTCACCTGCTGGCGATCACACAGCGAGCCCCGAGGCTGGACAGGAGCGTGGTCATCCCGCGGCCAAGGCCGGTGCCTCCCCCGGTGATGAAGGCCACTTTCCCCTGAAAGCTGTCCGGTGGCAGCATCGCTTTTTGGAGGGGTGGGAAGAATTTAGACTGAAAAGCGTCGCTGCTTTGGTATAATATGTCCGTTCCATAACTGAAAAACTAAAAGAGGGAAAAAACGAATGAAATCTGCACAAGAGGTGAACTTCAAAACACTAACTCTTTAATATTATACAAACTCTTGAATTAACACAATTCCCTGAGGAGTTGAAAAAACAGACTACGCTGTTTTCAATACAAATTTGGCATTGTATTTAATCAATTTTGACTCCTTCCTATCGGAATGTTTAGGGACATAGAGCCTGGTTAAAAGCACGGGCTCTGCAGTGCCCGGTGTAGTGCAGGCCTCTCTCCCCAGGAGAACAGCCGTCAGAAGTTAGTAACTTCTTTGTGCCTCAGCTTCCTGTACAAATGGAGACAATGACAGAACCTGCCCCCACAGGGTGCTCGTGAGGAGTTCATGAGTTGGTATAAGTAAAATGCCTACACCACTGTTTAACACACACCAAGCACTCTATAAATACTAGCTTTATTATCGGCAGGTGTTTTATTTAAATATAACTTTAAAAAGCTAACACAAAGCATATATGCCTTTGAACAAAAATGCTTTGGATAAAAATCACATACTACCTTTGAGTCACTGAACACAATCATAAAAAGTTCTTTATAAGGTCTGTTAAGTAAAATACCTCTTCCCATGCAGCCTTCTGGATGATAAATCTAGATAAACTATTTCTGTTATATTATTTTTATCTTCTTTTTAAAATATGCTTTTATTGACTTTAGAGAGAAAGAGAGAATAGAAAAATTGATGAGAGAGAAACATCGATTGGCTGCCTCCTAGGTACCCCACTGGTGATCCAGCCTGTAACCTGGGCGTGTGCTCTGACTGGGAATTGAAATGGGTGTGTTTTGGAGCATGGGACGATGCGCTAACCAAGTCACACTGGACAGGGAGGGCTCTGCTATATTTAAAATGGAGGGGCGGGGGGAGGGACGAAACCATTTCGAACTAAAAAATATCTGCACTGCACTCTCTTATAGTTTATAGCTTACACCTCACATCACCTGGGGAAAACACTTCCATCTGCTCACATCTATAAATAAAAACCTCAATGACCATTACAGAAAAAAAAGACCGGAATGACCGGTCGACCAGTCGCTATGATGGCACACTGACCACCAGGGGGCAAACACTCAATGTAGTCTGTTTTTTCCATGCCAGGCCCAGCGACCGGCGCCTCCCCTCCCAACCCTGCAGGGGCCTTCGGGCCCCAGGCTGGGTCAGGGAACCAGAGTTGGGTGGTGGCAGACACAGCCCCTTTCCCAGGAGGGGTCGAGGACTGGCTCCCTCCTTGGGGCCAGCGGCAGCCAACCACCTGTGCCCTGTCCCTCCCCCTGGCTGGTAGACCACGATTGGCCCGGCCCTGACCAGCCCTGATCTCCAGCCAGGCCTGGGGACCCCACCCGTGCACAAATTCATGCACTGGGTCTCTAGTTTAATTATAAAAACAAACTTTAAGTGTTGAGGAAATAACAAACAATAAAGAGGCAACACTCATTAGGTGCTTCCCATGTGTCAGATTAGATTCAAACTGACCAGCCTTCCCTGCCCCATGGAGCAGGCAGTACTTTACCCCATTGCACAGGAGGGGCCCAGATGCAGAAGTAAGATTCCAACATGGGCATATGCAACCACCTCTCTCCGAACCACCTCTCTCTGCACTGAGCTCCTAATGAGCTCGGTAATCACGCCAAAGGCGTGTGATAGTCCCCATAAGTATAATTTGATTTTATTACCAGGGAAAAAATTATTAAGACAAAATTTGAGGAGTATAAAATAATTGGTGAAGATACATTTGCAAATCTGGTTTATTTCCTTTGGCTTCATGTAGACAAAGCGTTTTCTTTATGTATTGTTTTGTCAAAGCATGAAACCCATGCAGCCCACAGTAACCCTGCTCCACCTAAGTGGCAGGCTGCTACAGCCTCAGAGCTATTCCATTAGGAAGATGAATCAGGAAATTTCCACAAGTAGGCTGGTGAGTGTGTCATTACCAAGTGATAATGAAAAAATGGGTTCTCATTTCCCACAGGCTCTACTTACGTAGTGTTGATTTGTAGGGGGAATTTGATGTGGTACAGTATGAAAGATAAATTAAACAAAATATTTGCATACAATCTTTCTTTTTTTATTTATTTGAAAAGATTTCTCAATTTCCTAATGTGAAGGTTAAAGGCTATAAAGTTAAAAATAATGGAGGAGGATCGAAGAATGCAGCATAGGAAAACACCTAAACTGTTGCCTCAAACAACAATTTCAAAACTACAACTAAAAAACAAAACATCTACCACACAGAAACACGGGCAAGCAGGCTGAGTGGAAGTTTACAACTAGAAGGAAAGAAAAAGGAGCATTCAGACATAAACACTGAAAAGCTGAGGCACAGAGGCACGCAATCCAGGTTGGCAGTGGGGCATGGCTTTTCTCAGCCTGAAGGGAGACAAGCTCCCGATTACTCTGATATCCAGTTTCTGGGGAGACGCAGGGGACCCAAACTCCTATAGGGAGAAGCTGGACTGTCTGCCACCGGGTCGGAAAGTGAGGGTGGCCTGCTTGCAGAGCTGCATGCAGGAATAATTGATTACTGTGCTGGGGCACGGGACACAGGGACGCGGTCAGACGCAGAGACGGCTGACTGACAGTGATTGCTGATTGCCATGCCCAAGCCTAGTGATGCCCTGAGACCCCGCCCCGAAAAACCTACAAACCCACCCAAGCTCCAAGCAGCAGCTTTTGAATGGCCTGCCCTATCACAGCTTAACCTAACAAACTTGCAACCCAAAACTTCCAAACCCCAAGCACAGAGGAGAAAACTGTGTTCTTGCTGTAGCTCCTGCAGGGTGGCCTCAGACAGTAGCTGACCTGCACCCCATTGGAGATCCAGAAGCCAGTGTACCTGGTGGTCAGTGTGAGACACCAGATTTCAACTCCTCACATCCATAAATGACACGTTTGGGAGGTGGACTCAGTGAGTACCAAAACCGCACTGAAACAAGGCCTGCACCATAAGCGTGTCTCCAGCACAGCAGTTCTTCCATAGCAGGTCTTCACAGCCAGCTGGCCTGGAGGTTAATTCCTCCCAGTGTACCAACAGCAATCAAGGTTTAACTACACCAACACTTTGCACTCAGCTCAGAAAGGGCTGTACTAAGAGTGTCCACCTCACGTGATTGGGGAGGCTGGGCTACTGGCCCCTGTAGGTCACCTACCACACAAAGCCACTCCGTGAACACAGGGAAGCAGCCAAATTGCGGAGGCAAAGAAACATGTCACGAATGAAAGAAATTGAGGAAAGCAAACTATTGGATGACATAGAGTTCAAAACCACATTTATGAGGTTACTCAAGAATCTTCTAAAAACCGCTGAGAAACTTGATGAGACTTCTGAGGAGCTTAGTGAGACCTTCAATGACCTTAATGAGAATGCAAAAAAGAAAAAAAGAAAAAAACCAGTCAGAAATTAACTATACACTGTCTGAAATAAAGAATATACAGAAACTCAACTGTAGATCAATGTACCCCAAGAATCAAACCAAAGATCTGAAATATGAGGAAATAAAAAACACCCAACTGGAAAAGAAAAAAAAAAATCCAAAAATATGAAGATAGTGTAAGGAGCCTCTCAGACAATTTTAAGCGTACCAACATCCAAATTATGAGGGTGCCAGAAGAAGAGAGAGAGCAAGATATTGAAAACCTATTTGAAGAAATAATGACAGAAAACTTCCCCCACTTGGTGAAAGAAATAGACTTACAAGTCCAGGAAGCACACAGAACCCTGAACAAAAGGAATCCCAAAGAGAACCACACCAAGACACATCATAATTAAAATGCCAAAAGCAAAAGACAAAGAGAGAACCTTGAAAACAGCAAAAGAAAAACAGTTACCTACAAAGAAGTACCCATACGACTGTCAGCTGATTTTTCAACAGAAACTATGCAGGCCAGAAGGGAGTGGCAAGAAATATTCAAAGTGATGAATGTCAAGAACCTACAACCAAGATTACTCTATCCAGCAAAGTTATCATTCAGAATTGAAGGTCAGATAAAGGGCTTCACAGACAAGAAAAAGCTAAAGGAATTCATCACCACCAAACCAGGATTACATAAAATGTTGAAGAGTATTCTTTAAGAAGAGGAAGAAAAAGGAAAAGGAAAAGATAAAAAATTATGAACAACAAAATGACATCAAATACATACCTACCAACAAGTGAATCTAAAAATCAAGTGAATAAAAAATCTGAAGAACAGAATGGACTGGTGAATATAATAGAATCAGGGACATATAAAGGGAGTGGACTGACAATTCTCGGGGGAAGGGAGTTTGAGGGGCTCGGGAAGAGACTGGACAAAAATCTTACATCTATGGATGAAGACACTGGTGGGGGTAAGGACATGGGGTGGGGTTGGGAATCAGGTGGAGGGGAGCTATGGAGGAAAAAAAAAAAGAGGAACACCTGTAATAATCTAAACAATAAAAATGTATTTTAAAAACGAAGGTTAAAATAATTACATTTGATAAAAATAATTCTTGCCTCGCTGGCATAGTGACCTATGAACCAGGAGGTCACAGTTCAATTCCCAGTCAGGGCACATGCCTGGACATATGCAGGAGGCAGCCAATTAATGATTCTCTCCCATCATTAATGTTTCTATTTCTCTTTCCTTCTCCCTTCCTCCCTGAAATCAATAAAAATATTTAAAAAATAATAAATCCTAACAAGTGTCCATAATGTAACAGATTAAAAGTCAGCACCGTCTCACCCACAGTGTCTGATTTGATCTGACCAATACTGATCCTGAGTCCCCTTCCTCACCGTGAAAAGTGCGGAAACTGACAGGTTACTTTAGTCCACATCACCTCTGACCGTCCTCAGCATACTTGCTCTGAGCAGTAAATTCAAGCCATCTGTTTGCCTAAAAGCAAGTTGATTTTAACATTAAGATCCAAAGAAATGTACAGACCTCACTGGACCTTGTATCCAATCTCCTCTTCCTATGGAGAGGGACCCTGAACAAACTGAAACAGCATGCTGGC